TTTGAATTCAAAATTCAAATTTTGGAGCCAATCCCGGTCACCCCCCATGTGCACTCATTTGTGATGTAATTTGGCATCCATTTGAGTTGCATTTCGGTCACACCATGTGCATGTGTGCACATGGCCGAAATGCATACCAAATGTTATGCTAATTACATTCAAATGACTATGCACATGTAACCCTAAATTAACCCTAATATATCATATTAAGGAAATACAAAAAAAAATTTATCATTACCAACAATCCAAGAGTAAATAGATAGATGAAACATACATTCTAAAGACTGCGATTCTGAAAAGGCTGTTTTCATTCCATTTTATTTTGTTCGAGTTCTAAGAGCATAAAAGCTGAAATATGGTGATAGAAAAATAATTGATTATTTTTATGTTTTTTCTTTTCAAACGATAAAAGGTTTTCAAGAAAATACTTATCCACGAGTGAACAAAAAAACATACAGCAAAATAATGGAGGTGAAAAGCTCCATGTATAACATTATTTTATATTGAGTTAACTATGAGGAAGGAGAGAAAACACCCAATAACAAAATAAGATCTGGAAATAATAAAGAAACATTCATAAATCGGCTTTCAGTAACACAACTTTTGAAACAGAAGGGTGATGATTCCTGGGACCTAGACGTTAAAGTTACAAGTATACAACAACCATTAATTGTTATTCACCGTATAAAATAACTACTTTTCTTATATGTATCCTTTGACTAGCTATGAACTATACATTGAATAATTTAAATTTATCTACTACTATTTGCCAAAAACAAAATTATCCATTAATAATCTATAATAAAGCAGATGAATAGGGGAGCAGAGTAAAAAGCCAAAGCAGTGAAATACATGATCTGAAAAGTATATGGGACGGTTTTTTCTTCTACATTCACGATCCAACTTTTACTTCTTAAAATTCCACCATGAAGTCAAGGGTGCACGTACTCAATCAGCCTGCAAACACCAACATATGAACATCAATTCCTTCAAGAGTTTGCACTCGGAATGGCATGATCATAGAATTGATGTTTGGTAACAAAAATGTATTTTATCATTTCTATCCTGGGAAAAATCATTTACAATCACAAGATGCTTTTCCCTTTGTACTTTGAACTGTAATGGCTTTGTCATAGCATTAATTGCAAAAACAAAAAGATGAAAGGTAGAACAGCAGGATTGGAACTTATGTAAATCTAACTCAGATCCCTTTTATTCATTTTGTGCACTTTCCTAACGAAGAGTCGAAGACAGAAAATAGTGCAAGAACAAGCATTTTCCTTCTCTATATAACCCCAGTAACTGATCTGATAGTTTTTATTCTCTAAGTTGATGTATGCAACTTTGGCCTCCTCAAAGAGTGACAACAGTTAGATGCCAAGGAAAGCTAGTTCAGCAATTAAAGTAGACACTGTTGAGGGAAAAATTGTCTGGTTTATCACACTGGAATTCAATATAACTATTATTTTTGTTGTGTCTCGAAAGTATACAGTGAGTCAGCAGAGAGATTTTATTTTATGAAGAGGGGCTGCCAACAAGAAAGCCTACTGCATTCACATGAAGCAGTCACTATTATAGTATTATACTGTATATAGAACACAATACAATCAAATTATCAAGATAAATCATTCCTAATTAACAATGATGATGTTGATTTCCTAAATTAGTCTTTAACCTAAAAGGGAACTTCCACATATAAAGCTTTGCCATAACTAGAAAAATGTTTTACCTTGTCAAATATTGATTTGACCGACTCAAAGACATCTTCAACAGGCCTCGCAGCATTAATCTAAAAGAAGAAAAAAAATCATGGTCTAGTACAAGAAGCGATTAAAAGCCTTAGCAAAGTGATGGTAGAAGCACCGAAATATATAAATTACCTTGAACACTTTGCCCATCGCATCATAATAAGAAATCACAGGAAGACTAGACTCCAAGAAAACTTTAAATCGCTTCCTTATTGCTTCAATATTGTCATCTTTTCTTCCCTTTATTAGCCACAAAAAGTATTAATCGCTGAAAGCATAAGAACAAATACAATGCTTTTCTTTTTCAGGATTAAAAAAATAACCTGGTTCCTACAAAGAAGACGCCTCTCCATCTCTTCCTCAGGGCAAACAAAAAATAAGATGAATTCTGGTTCAATTCTAATCTGTGATACCATGGTGCATATTTTTGGGAAAAAGAAAATACAATTATCTATTATGAAAAAAATAAGTAAACCTCAAATAAAACAATTCTGAGTAATGAAAATGGAAGTTACCAAATTCTCAAATGATGCACGGTTTTCCTCGTTACGAGGGAAACCATCAATAAGAAATTTGTCATTGCCACTTTCCTCCATTGCTCGTTGCAGAAGCTTTATTGTTACTTCTGAGGGAACTATTTGTCCTTCGTTGATCATATTATCAATCATTGTACTGTTAAACATAAAATGTTAACTATAAAGTCATGCCAAGAGATATGAACAAAATTTAAACCCAATATAATAGTACACTATATTTCTACTTAAAAAAACTAAAATTTGGAATACATGGTCAAAAGAAAATACTGGGTAGAATTGAATATTTCTCAGAATTGGTCACCTTTAATTATTTAAAATCAGCCAGGGAAGTTGGGAATGATTGATATTCATTTACTAACATGAGCGAGAGTGTTGTAAATAACAGAATTATCATGGAAGATCCAAAATCATCTTATTTGATCCTTTATTATTTGTTTATTTTTTTCTATTTATCTTTAAGCCACAATTTCCTTATTTTAGGGATAGTTATTCACCTGTAAAAGGATGATTAGAGAATGTAAATGATGCGATTCAGATTAATAGAATAATTTTCTTTTACAACTCATGTATTAGTTAATAATATTATCATATTTTTATGTTTAAATATATTGTTATATTTATGGTAGGATCTTATGATCCATGATATGGTCACGTGATTTGTGATCTTTCAACTCCTTCCAGGGTGAGATCTCAATTTTGACAACCTTGAATGAAAAGAATATTTGCATAATCAATCAGAATAAGCACATAATTGATAGTTTCAAAAGACACTAGGAATATAAACAATCAGAATAAAAGTACAACGAATCCATCAATAATTTTTTTTATCAAAACAAAGCATAAAATATTTACCCATTTTCTGAACCAGATTCAATTTCTGCTCGCAAGAGATCACCAGCACTGAGGTGAGTATACCCAAACTGTTGGACAATGTTTGCACATTGTGTACCTTTTCCACTGCCTGGGCCACCTGTATCATTAGCATATCAAGAATCAATATGGAGGTCAAAGAATGCTCACTATAACTTTTAATAAACATAATGAAGTCATAATCAGATTCGCACTTCAAGGGGAAAACTACGGGAAAAAGGATATATAACAAGTTTTAGAGTTTGTTTGTGTAAACTTCTCTAAAAGCATTTCTATAAGAGAAAAATAGGAAGAAAAAAATGAAATATGCTTCTTCATAAGCTAAAATTAGCTTATGCCTAAACTAATTAGTAGAAATTCTCTCCTATTAGCTTCTCCAAAATCTTATTTTTAACTCATGAATAAGCTAGTTTTAACTTATGGAGAAACTTACTTTAATTTCTCTCTTTTTTTTCCTCCTAGAAGTGCTTCTGGAGAAGCTCACCCAAACAGGTTTTTTTCATTGTAAAAAAACATTAAAGTTTTTCCACAATGGTGAATTAGTGATTATACACCCAAAGGTAACCACAAAATCAGAATTGGGATGCACACAAACCTTCCACCTTTATAAATGCCACCACTTAAAATGCACCTAGCCCTCTCTAATCTAGAGTTCCTTAAACTAAAGTGTTGGAAAGCCGCTTTATATTTGGTTACCCTAGCCCACCTTAGTTGCTGCCTCTTTGGGGGTGCCTTAATTGTGGTCTCAATGGTAATTGTTTAGTCTCACATCGACTACAAATATGACTCAAGTGCAGCTTATAAAGCTTGGAAAATCTTCACCGTACAAGTCTTGGGAATGAGTTAGGCACTAAACCCAAATTCTGAGATAAAGTATTGGAAGCAGGGACATCATATTTAGATGATTCTTGTAATATTGAATATGATAATAGCAACTTTGACTTCCATAAGGTATTCATAATTTCCCCAAACATTGTCTTTCAAGCACAATACCAATGAAAATAAATATATAATTAATAATAACCGTTAGGTTTGTTTAAGCAATCTCTTAGGTTCTAGACTTCTAGCACCAGTTCACTATCCATTCCAGGTATTTTAAATTGCAAATAAGAGAGTAATATATAAAATAAAAGCTAGCTGAAAATGCAATCATTCAGTCACATGACAACCAACATCTGAAAAGCAAACTTCCTGGATTGATATTACTTTAGTAAACATAAACACACATTTAAAATAAAAATGATCACTAAATTTTGTTTCTTTTTCAAAACTCACTCAACTAGATGTTCCAGGCAAATGACTTCATTTTCAATTTAACTATTAATAAATGCCTAATGAAAAAAATATATATAGGCTGCCTTTTTTCACACTTTAAACTGTTGGGAATTGTTAAGATCCCATATTGCCCAAGAATATGGCAAAGTACTCGGTAAAATGACTTAACAATCCTGCCCCCCATAAGCTAACTTTTGAGATTGAGTTACATGCAATCCATTCTTAATTCTAATATGGGTATCAATCGTAAAACCTAGCCCAGTCCTGATGTTGGACCATCTGCAAGTATCCAATACTCTAAGTTACATACCCCAGATTTTTGGTTCTGGGCAAGGTGTGTGTTAGTTAAAATCCCACATCACCTAGGTAAATGACCAAAGTTCTCCTTAAAAATGACATGGGTAATCCTCCCCATTTTTGCTAGCGTTGGGGTTGATCTAGGTTCAATCTGTTAAATATTCAAAAAGAAACAACTAAAAAATGAAAGGTATTCAAAAACAGCTGCAGCCATTTTTTAAAAAAGGCATGTGTATGAGTTGAAATAATAGTGAATTGAAAGAAAAATTAAAAGAGAGACTGAAAATAATTGATACAAATTGGTGTGTTAGATGTAAAACTTTAACACCTATTAATATTAATAAACAGTAAACTCATCTTGACTAGTCTAAAATAAATTAATAAACCAAAATGAATCTGGAATTTATCAAAGGCCAATCAGATGGATGTTGTCTGTAGAAATCCTTGATTATAATGCAATCAGTAAGTGCTCACCTAATACAAAAACAACTGCAGGTTTTTTCTCAACAGTGCTTACATTTGCATCCTCAGATGAATTGGGCTAAAAAGAACAAATGAAAAAGCAGTCAATAATATTAACACTATATAAGAATGATATGTTTTCAACAACGTAAAACGGAAAATGAAAACAAGACACAACATAATAAAAAAGGAAAAAAGAAAAAAAAATAACTTTAAGGCTTAGCACTGACATTACCCAATTTATTAACAACTCAATTACTAGGAGATCCTTACAGCTCCTTTCACAACATCAAAGAAATTTACAAGGAAAACAAAAAGTCCTTTACAGATTAAAACCTTCAAGTTCTGTATGGCAGTAAGAGAAACATAAGCATATCGTTAACCACTTTTTATCTAGACCGTGTGAGAAATGAGTAAAGGTCTAAAAGAGATTTATGCTACAACAAACGTGCCTATACATGGAAACAGGTGCGGGAAGCAATGTGGTAAGATTAGAGGCTATGTGGAATACAAGGAAGGAGGGAAAAGGAGAGGAGTAGGCAATCCTTTGGATAGTTTTAGGGTGGCTGTTACCACAAGGAAGAAAAGTATTCTTCTCTGAACCATTAGGGTCAAGCAGTCAGCCTAGTGGTGGAGGGTTGGGATAATATGCATAAGATCTTATGTTCAAATCTTATTATTGTTATCGTAATTCCTATAGCTCAAAAAAACAAGTATTCTTCTCAAATATTTTCTTTTACATTTCTATGTTTTCCTGCATTTTCTCACTGTAATCAGAGCTCTGCTCTCTGAATTTTCCTACAAATCGTATAGTGTGAATTCCAGTTCCTATCAATTGGTATTCAAGCTCTGTCCTGAGAATCAGAATTTTTCTAGAATGCCTATGAATTCCAGTTCCTATCACATATTTACTTTAATAGCTTTCCAAACTATCAAATCTATGAAATGCTAGAAGCAAGTCAGTGGATAAAACAAACATGAATACCTGGTTTGAAGCTTCAACATTTGTTCCCATGAGTAGTATCTTATTTACCTATGTTTCAGAGTAGAGTATCTGAGAATAACTTCACAAGCAAATAAATGATATATCAAAAGAAAATCGTATACAGTGCTCAACAGTTATAATATTTCAAAATTTCACTCATACAATAATTCTACACATTAACTTAATCAAGAAAATCACCATCACCATATTAAATAGGCTAATATAATATGCCAAGAAACAGGATTTTTAGAACAAAACTCAATTATCAAGTGCATTTAACCAAGGTAAAATACATAGTTAATATTTTAATTATGTCACAACAGGTGAATGCAGAGACAGATAATATAGTTTCTGATTTTCTAACAGTCCTTTTACTTAATTTATATGTAAGGGAATATGGGTACCACGATTCATGTATTAAATTTGGATTCCAATGTAAAGCATACAATTTATTACAGAGCCTTAAAAAAAAAAAAAAAGTGGCATAAAACTAGGACAGACTAAGCAACAGCTAACAAGAGAAACTTCAAATTTCAAAGCGAAATTATTAATCCGTAATTAATAGAATAGTTATTTAAAAAAAAAAAAAAAACTCAGCTAAATTTTCGGGCAAAACCCGAATTTGGCAAAAACAAAAAAGGGTGATCAAAATATGAAGAAAAAAAAAATATCTAGACAAAGATGTTCCACATCAGTCATCACCATCCAAATGGGAGAAGAGTTAAGGCAAGTAAAAGGGATTATACCTTTCGCCAAGACAGAGGCAAAGGGGTTTGAGTATAAGGGTTTTGATTTTTGTAATGGCAACTATGAGAGGTAAAATCGGATATTCTCTTTCATGAAGCGCGTCCATGTTATAATTTCTTTTTATACGATACAATCAATAATATTATGTCCACATTTGATTTGAAAAAGGGTTTAAACGTATTTTTCTAATTTAATTATTTTTAATTTTTAATTAAACCACTTTGTCTTTTTTATTTTTTAACAGAAGAATAACTTTAGTTTTTCAAGGATTCAAGTATAATACCGGATAATTTTAATTTTTTTTAAGGGTGGTAATTATGTGATTTTAATTGCTTTTATTAAAATTTAATAATTTTTTTTTATCAATGCAATGTTAACAAATGAAATGATGTATCAGTATTTTTAATTAACTTTTTTTATAATATACTAGCAAGGAAAAATACATTTGTTATCTCCGTGAAAAAAAATAAAATAAAGAGTAAATTGTGTTAAGAGTTATATTTTCCTTCCTTAAAAGATGTAAATCTTATATATATTAAAATATAAAATAAATTATATTTTTATTTTCAAATATTATATTGTTATTTTTTTTATTATATTAACTTAACATCATTAAAGAATTATCATTATAAAATATTAGATTCAAGCACAAGATGAAAAGGACCAAATTAACAGAGGTTCAAAGTAGTTAAGGAAGTAACATGAATAACAAAGTTATACAAAGAAGTTTGGTGTTGTTTCTCCCCCATGGTTAAGAATGGGAGAAATGCAAAGACAAAAGAGAGATCATGTTTCTTAAACTTGAAATGGCCAAGACCTGTCTTCCAATCTTTTCTTACTGGTTTTGTTTTCTGATTCATTCATACTTTATTTGATTCCTTTTTTCTTTTTTATTTTTGTTGTTTTTTTTAGAAGAAAGACCTTTAATTGATTAATCTATTTTTTATTTTAAATAAAGAAAAGAAATAGAAAAGAAAAAAAAATAAATTTATTTTAATTACATTAGTAAATAAAATTATTTTATTTTATTTTATTTTATTTTAATAATATTATTAAATCAGTTATTTATTTAATTTTATTTTCAGAAATTTATTAAATAATTTATTTCTTAAAATAATTTTATTCACTTATTTTATTTCTTTAATAATATTATTTATTAATTCAATTAATTAAAAACTAATTTAAATTAAATAATATTTTTCATGTCACTTAAGTGGTGACACATTATTAATTAACAATTAAACTTAGCTGTCAACATGTGAGAAATTAATGGTAAAATAAAAGTTGTGTATTTTTAAAATTGAGAAATATATATATTTTAAAATAGAGAGAAAAAAATTATAAATTGATAAAAATAAAAAAAAATTAAAAGTGTAATTTAATTTTTTTTACAAGTAGTTTAATATATTTTAGGCTATTTATGATCCATTTTTGGCCCATTTAATATCAGATATTTGGCCCGTGATTCAATCATGGCTTTTGGGCCTATTTTTTTTATTCATAACAAAAAAAACAAAACATGGTCTAGATTTATAAATTATGAGAGAAGACCCTATAAAGAAAATATAAAAGCTTCACTTAGTCTTTACGAACCCTTGGATTTTGAAACATCATTCATATATGATCAGCATTTTCTCTATAGATAGAGACAAATTCTGTGTCACTATCCTATAATTCACAAATGGGATGAAAATGTAGGTTAGATGTGTTGACAGTTCCAAGTTATGCAACTCATTAATTATTAGCTTCATTTGCCTTTCTTTTGCATGTTCACCACCATTCAAGCATTCATATATTTGCCAAAAAAGTTTCCATTTGTTTCTTCATGGTTGCTGCACCTTTAACATTAATTTGCTAATTCTCATCTCATGTATTACTATATGTTAACAAGATTAATTTAATCTTATATTTCTAGTTAATTTTAATTTAAAAGGGCTTAACTATCTTTGCTCTCTTGTTTTATTTAATTTATTCAATTTTATATCTCTTTTATTAAAAAAAAAAGTTATTTGATCTCTTAATTTTTAAGAGTGGTATAGTTTGATTATTTTGTTCAACGAAGACTAATGATATTAAATATTTGTGTATATAACGATATATGTCCCTTTTTTTATATATATTTTGGCACGAAAGTTGACATCGAATAGTTTTATTGAATAAAAATATCGCATTGTATCTTTAAATATTAGAATGATCAAATTGAATTATATAAATAAAATGATATATATATATATATATATATATATATATATATATATATA